ACAAATGTGTATAAAATGTTGACATTTCGTTTTATACAGCCTGGGGGTCAAAACATTAATGTCATGTTTACCCAGTTGTCCCTATTAAATTAGGAAAAGTCATTAAATATGAAACAAGAAGTCAATCACTTATTTAAGACATTAAACACTGAATGTGTAAGGGCCCAGCCTGCGCCGCCAGCAGAGGGCGACGGCGGCAAAGTGCCATAACTTCGGGGAACTCCAATTCCCAGAAGCCCTAGGGCTGATTAGGCCCAACTTGACACACCTGTGGACTCCTCTACTTAAGGCTGTGGCAAACAGCAGCCCTTTGTCCCACCTTTGTAGAGGGGTGACTGGTATGGCATGCAGGCCAGGTGGGTATTTAAACAAAAAGAAAAGAAAAAACAAAAAGAAAAAAAAAGAGGGCTAGAAAACAAAAGAGAGTAATTGCCCCAAAATTTTCTCTACAAAGGGTCTTCGCTTTCAAGAAAGTTTGGTGTGGATCACTGAGGGAAAATTAATTTCAACAAGACCTTATAAATGCATGTAAGCAGGTGGTTATTAACTGTTAGAAATGAACTCAGAGATCAGAGAGTGACTATTGTAGCTAATTACATGTACTGACCTTAGATCTTTCTTAGAAATCATTCCTTTGATAAATCTGGGCTGAGAACTTTCTATTGCTGCTCTCTAAGCTGCCATGAGCTGTTAACACATTTTAAAAGATCGCTCTTAGTTTCATATCTGCTAGGAACATTTACATCTGGCTAGAAAAGCTAGATTCGCATGCATTTAACAGCACTGAAACGTAGCGGTTTCCTGTTAAGCTTCTTACGATTGCCTGTATCACATTATTTTATTTAGCTATGTACAGTCATGTGAAGAAGTAAATATCATGCCCCCACTTTAATAACCAGAATAACAGTGATGTTGAATGAATTAGTACAACTTTTATGTAACTCAGCAAGCAGTGACCAGTAAGTACACCCCATATTTAGACATACAGATACCCCGTCTTTTGGATAAAAGTGATAATTTAACAAGTGACACTTAAAATGAACATTTTATGTCAACCTTTATGTTGTTGAAATGAGCACAAATGCAATTGCTGCTGTGCTGCCTCAGAGCCTGGCCAACCTGCAATCACAGAATAGACTATGAATTCTCTTTTGTACCAGAGAGTGCTTAAGGAGAATGTTTGACCATCTGTGAAAGAAGTTGAAGCTGAGAAGTGGACCTTCCAGTAGGATAATGATCCCAAACACACTAGTAAATCCACCAAGTGGTGGATCATTCTCAGCACTGCAGTGACACTCATGTGGTGGTGTGTTAGTGTGTGTTGCGCTTTTATGAGTGGATCAGACACAGCAGTGCTGCTGGAGTTTTTAAAATCTGTGTCCACTCACTGTCCACTCTATTAGACACCCCTACCATGTTGGTCCACCTTGTAGATGTAAAGTCAGAGATAATAGCTCATCTGCTGCTGCAGATGTGTTGGTCATCCTCTAGTCCTTCATCAGTAGTCAGAGGATACTGCCCACATGATGCTGTTGGCTGGATATTTTTGGTTGGTGGACTATTCTCAGTCCAGCAGTGACACTGAGGTGTTTAAAAACTCCAGCAGCACTGCTGTGTCTGATCCACTCAAACCAGCGCAACACACACTAACACGCCATCACCATGTCAGTGTTACTGCAGTGCTGAGAATGATCCACCACCCAAATAGTACCTGCTCTGTGGTGGTCCTGACAATTGAACTACATAAAGATATAATATGCTTATGAATACAGACATTTAAATCATATTTAAAGTGTAAATTCACAAGACATTATGGATGTACATTGTTTCCACTCACTGTTTTTTTCAGGATTCTACAGACTGACTGCAGTGTGTCTGGGGCTGCTGTGTGTTCTCCTGCTGGCTGCCATCACAGTGCTGTGGGATCAAGTTCACTGCAGAGAGAGACCAGTTACAGATCAGTAACACCAACCTGACTGCAGAGAGAGACCAGTTACAGACCAGTAACACCAACCTGACTGCAGAGAGAGACCAGTTACAGACCAGTAACACCAACCTAACTGCAGAGAGAGACCAGTTACAGACCAGTTACACCAACCTAACTGCAGAGAGAGACCAGTTACAGACCAGATTTTTGGATGTAACAAATGAAAGAGATCAACTGAAGACTAATTACACCACTCTGGTGCATCAGCTTCAGAATCAGAGAGACTGTCTTCAGAAGTTCTCTAATCTAGGTGAGCAGATCATCTCTAAGGTTTAAGACAGTTACCTTCTTTTGGAGTAACTAAGTTAAAATGAAAGGTTAAGCAAGCAATACACATTACCATGTTTAAAATGGCCACCTGCTGTTGAAAGGAAAGAAAGGCAAAATGTAACCTATTCTGTGGTGTGTGGATTTGTATCATGTTAGCTATGCTAAAAATAATGTGCCACACACCACAATATAAGTTAGATTCCATCTAACTGGTGCTCTGCTGACACAAGTGTAGATCATAAAAACTCTTGTCTGAGAGAGCAAAGTCAAGAGACTGTTGGAATGACAGAAAGTAACAGTTCACACCGTCATAATTCTGAAAATCCATCATTTTTAAATACTGTGGTAACCTTATTACTGCCCAACGCTAGATAAATATTAAATACTGATAGATTATACTTAGTGTTGGACTTTTTGGTGTTAAATATGTTTCCTGTTTTTTTCTGACAATGAAAATGTAATACCTTGTACTTTATAGGAAATTACATGTATGAAAGGGGGTCTTTGGCTTTTCAATTGTACTTTACTTGGAAATTTCATGGAGTTATGTTCTTCACTCTCAGTAGTGGAGGGTAATAGCTCTGTACAATTGGTTGACAGTCCTGTTGATGTGATTTTAGCTGTGTGAAAGTTTGATAATTACACAATGATTGGAATCAGTTTTAAAGTAAGTAACTGTAATTGAGATTTGAGATATTCATGGAGTGTGTTTAGATCTATTTACTTATGATTATCACACATCATTTCACACATTATGAACTGCTAATCCTGTGAATCTCAGTAACTGTTTGACATACTCTGAGGAACATTAATGAGCAAAAGCACTGCATCTAATATGGAAACAACTACATTATTGTGTCCTTACCGTATGTCAGACTCTAGAGGTCGCTGTTGCACCTCAGTGTTAAGGGCAGGACCAGAGGAAAAGACATGTGAAGTGTGTTACTGTAGACAGCTATGCCCGTGCCTACTGAGTTGGAAGAATAAGTCTAATTCATCGTCCGTCTTGGCTGATTACTCACTGTACACAAGGACCCCACAAAATTGGTGACGAGACCTGTGTACAATATACTGAACTGAATCAAGATGCGTGCTGCAAATGCCCCTTTTCCAACCCCGTTTCTGCCGTGTCCAGGTGAGCCTGCTCTGCCATTCACCACATGGGTGAGAACGTTCCATAGCTACTCGCAAGTTATTAATGTGGTGGGGTATGACTGGCCTAAAGCCCAAAAAAGGGCTCTTCTACTTCATTGCCTGGGAATGGAAGGGCAAATATCTTTTATACACTACCAAGCACAGGCGAATCCCTTGATACTACCATTACAGCTTTGCAAAGCCACTTTACCCCAAAACTTAATGTGGTAGCTCAGAGACATGCCTTCAGAAAGTGCGTCCAAGCTTGTGGTGAGTCAGTGATGCAGTATGTAGCCACTTTAAGAGATCTGGCTTCAACATGCAAGTTTGAGGACAACACTGATGATATGATGCGAGACCAATTTGTTGAACATGTAGCTAGCAATTGTATAAGGGAGAGGCTGCTGCAAGAAACAGAATTAACGTTGCCTAAAGCCTTTACAGTTGCAACCCAGATTGAGTCTACTAGTGAGCAAGCGAAGTCTATGATTGAGGATCGGGCACTGCACGTGCAAGCTGTGCAGATGTGGATGGATGGCGCTGACGTAAGCCTCTGTCATGTCAGCCACCCCTCCCCAGTCCTTCCACGAACCCCTCTTCTGTCTCCTCAATTCGCTCTTGTTATCGCTGTGGATCCGTGTGGAAGTAAACATCTAGCTAACACTCAGAACTGCCCTGCTGCTGTGCAAAGTGCAAGACTTGTCAGAAAATGGGACATTTCACCCGAGTTTGATATTTACTCTGTTAATGTGCTTCGCCAATGCGTTCACCCCTGTTAGGCAGCTCTCCACATCATCTCCGTCAGGTATTCTGGGCTGCACAAAAAGCTTCATCCATAAAGTAAAGCTCTCACACACCGCTGCTCCTATCCGTCAAAAACTGCACCACTTATCTCCGTCTGTGTGAAATGCTGTATCTGCCAAGCTAGAGTGCCTACTTAGAGAGGGCATAATTGAAAAGATTGATGCATTGCCCTGGGTTTCTCCGATCTTCATCACTCAGAAAAAAACGGGTGGCATCCGAATGTGTCGATCTCAAACCCCAGTAAAGCCATTATTGTGGACAGCTATCCACTGCCACACATGGACAAGTTGTTTTCACTACTGAGAGGGGCCACAGTATTTTCAACAATCGACCTGCAGAGCGCATATCATCAGGTTCTGCTCCATCCAGATAGCTGGGACCTGACGGCCTTTATAACTCGCAAAGGGCTCTTCAGGTTCTGCCAGGTTCCATATGGGTTGGCCTTGGCACCGGCTGCCTTTCAGAAAATTATGGCTTAGATCTTGCAGGGCTTACCAAATGTGGCCAATTACTTGGATGTGTGGGCTGTAAAAAAAAAAAGGAGAACTTACCTCTTGGGTCGAAAATTCACATTGCAAACTGATCATCAGGCTTTGACCACTTTACTCACAGCTAAGGGGGCAGATCGCGCTGGAATGCGTGTTGCACACTGTGCAGCGTGCTTACTTTGCTTCAATTATGATGTCTACCGGCTGGGGTGCTACAATTCTACCGCTGACTGCTTGTCCCGCCTCCTTCTGCTTCTGCTTCCCCCAAGAATGATTTGGACACCGAACCTGAATTCGTGGCCCTGCTGTCTACTGCTCTACTGAATGTGCTGCTGCTTCGTCCTCCTGCTCTGAAACGCGAACGCTGCGCTCTCAGATTGAACGTGGCTGGCCTTCCTCTTCCTTGAATCTTCAGTCATCTCTGCAGTCCTTCTACAAAGTGAGACACAAACTTTCCGTTAAAGACAAGTATGTGTTCAGAGGAGCGTGCCTCATCATACCAGTTTCTCTGCACAATACTTTTGTAGCTCTGCCGCACAAAGGTCATCAGGGCCTTGTGCGCACCAAGCAATGGTTGCGCGACCTATACTGGTGGCCGCAGATGGACGCAATGGTTAAAGAACAGATTGCTTCCTGTCAGCAGTGCCAGTCATCAGACAAGTGTTAAACTTTTGCCTGCGTCTCTTCAACCTGTACCCTTTCCAGCTGAGCCTTGGAAAATGCTGGCTATGGATGTGGTGGGTCCTTTCGAGACGGCCATCTAGGAGAGCCGTTACTCACTAACACTAATAGACTATCACAGTAAATGGCCCAATGTGGCGTTTGTGTCTTCAGTAACAGCGCAGCAGGTGATTGGCTTCCTTACAGCAATCTTCAGTTGACATGGAAATCCAGAGTGTATTGTCACTAATAACGGACCACAGTTTACCACCGCTGAATTCTCAGCTTTCCTGAAAAATCAAGCATATCCGCCCACCAGTTTACCACCCAGCCACCAAAGGGGCAAACAGTTTGAGTCCTCAAAAGCTGCATCCAGTCTGTCATTCTGCAATCAAAACCATGGAAAACCACAGTGGCTGAGTTTCTCCATGTCTACTGAGCGACACCTCATTCAACTTCTGGGGCCTCACCATTCTAACTACTTCACAGTAGGAAAACGTGCACTCATCTCAATGGGTGTCTGCTCAGCAAGCAAAAATGAAAAGGTATTGTGACATTAGATGTGGAGCGCGCACGGCTGTTCTCCAAAAGGGGGACAAAGTCCTTGTTAAACTTCCTAAAGGACATACAAAATTCTCAGAGCCACTCGCACAATTGCCACGAGCGCCGGAAAACAAACCTCTGATACCTCGCGCTTCACCCCGACCTGAACGGGACCAACGGGACCTTTTGGTTGAAGGATTATGTCAGATGTTAAGGAATAGTTTTGCCAGAACGCGTGTAGTTAACTATAAATTGGAAGTGTGGAAGCCGCTCTGAAATCTCGTCTTAGTGTTTTAATTTGCTAAATTCAAACCAATGTGTCTGCTATTAAGACAATTAATTGTGAATGACTGTTCAGTTACATTTCACGGTAGTTAAGTTGCTGATTGATATCGTATTTTGTTTTGGTTATTGATTTGCTTCAGTAATACCCAGAACAGTGGAATTATTCAGTAAACTGTTGATTTATAGGTTCTATTACTTAACTATATTGTTATATAATAGGTAATAGATGTCTTAAATAAGGGGGGGATTATTGTATCCTATACTGTATGTCAGACTCTAGAGGTCGCTGTTGCACCTCAGTGTTAAGGGCAGGACTAGAGGAAAAGACATGTGGAGTGTGTTACTGTTGACAGCTATGCCCGTGCCTACTGAGTTGGAAGAATAAGTTTAATTCATTGTCCGTCTTGGCTGATTACTCACTGTACACAAGGACCCCACATACATTTCCATATGTAAGATCATCATATTACATTTCAAGTAGTTCTTTACACAACAAGGGACTATTATGATGCTATTAGGAATATGTCAGTACTGATATGAAATTGGAATCATATAGGTACTGACAGATAACGGCTTAAAATAAAATGTTATATTTAACCAAATAAATGTTATTTTGCTAATACAGGTATGTTTAGCCACAATTTCTACATTTTATAAATGTTAATATATTGGTATCAGTATCAACATCAGCAGATGCACATTATCAGACAGTCATCATCTCTCAATTCTGAGATCAGTGTATCCCAAGATGCAAAACAAATTACCAGTACGGTGTTCCCTTTTTAATGTGAGGAATAATTACCAAGGACCCAATTACACTGACTTACATGTGAAAGAAGAAAATAACTAACATTAAAGTGTATAATGGATCTCTGTGTATGTTTTCAATTCATAGAGAAGGCAAAGCAGCAAGGTTTAATGTTTTTTGCCACAAGTATGTACTTCATCTCTATTGGAGAGAAGAACTGAAGTGAGAGCAGACAGGACTGCAGAGAGAGAGGATCAGACCTGCTGATCATAAACAGCAGAGAGGAACAGGTGAGAGAGAGAGAGATTTTGAGGAAGGGATGGTCGTTCACATTAGATGACCAGAACAAATATGTGTGCAGTGAGTTACTTTTCCTCTCTGTTTCTGAGAATGTACATCTGGTTGTTAACAGGACTTTATTGAAATACTGAGACGAGGACAGACGACTTGGATTGGTCTGACTGACAGTGAGACAGAGGGGGTCTGGAAATGGGTGGATGGCTCAGCACTGACCACTGGGTAAGAGATCACTGAACTGAACTCTGGACATGGTGCAGTTAATGACTGTGACTCCTCACTGCTCTGATAAACACAGTGGATTCTCTGATTCTCTCTTTCAGGTTCTGGGCGAGCAGCGAACCCAACGGGAATTTAGGAGACGAGGACTGTGTTGTAACTGCAATGAAATGGGCTGATTATCCCTGTAATCACAGGTTTGTTTGGATTTGTGAGAAAAGACTCACCAGCATGTGAGTGAATAACAGCATGTTTGGGGAATGTGTGTGGCTTTTTTTTTTTCCCCCAGCTATCTAGACCAAATCACAGTTATTTTACTATAAACACGTCTACTGTTAATAAAGATCATTATTTTAAACTGTACTCACTGATACAGACACCACAGAACTGTAATAGTATCTGTCAGTAAGAGGAAAAAGGGTTCACATTAATTAGAAGAGACAGAGCTGATGATCATAGTTACACTGACCACACCCAGATTTACTAACTCTCTCTCCAAATGACTACAGTCCCACAGACACTGTCATTACTTTGAACAAAAAAAAGTTGCCTCAGCTAAATAAAGACAAAATAATTTTATTTGGTAGTAAACAGGGGTTACAAAAGGTCAGCATCACCTTCAATCAAGAGGTTTAAATATAGGGTTTACAAGCATAATATAGATTTCATGGCACACTGAATGATTATGATTTTGGTCGAAGTGCAACAAGAGTATTGTATTGCCAGTATTGTGCACGGAGCACACTGAAACACAAACTTGTACGAGTTGATCTGAATGAATGAAAAGTACAGTAGGCAAAATGCACATTCATACATCTGAAATGGAACTGAATGCACTAGGAGCCCAAAATTCCTCATGTGACTCACATTTCATATTGCACTTAAATAAACTTACATTCAAATCACAAATGTATACGATACGTTTTGGCTTAAATCTAAATCCTTACCTGAAGACCTCAACATCACTGAATGTGCTTGGGATTCATTTGATTTGTAAAGCAAGTCGACTGAACTTTGGAGGTATGGAAAATATCCCTGCAGATTTCTTTGAAAAGCTGAAAGCCTAAATTAATGGAAGCTGAAATAAAGGAAACGAGTGGATACATTAAATACTGAATATTTTAATCCTATATTTCGTTGTTGAGGTTTCTGTGTAATTTTCTGTTTAATGTAGGTTTTCTGACTGACGATACTTCGCAAAGAAACTAGACTAAAGCCTGGGCTTATATACTAAACTAACAAACACATAAAACGAGGGACAGGTGTTTATAATTAGCTCATTTTCTGTTGGATTAAGGATGATAACCACAAATGAGACTGACATTGACACCTAAGTGTTCACAGAAGCCTGACCAAACTCGAGATGTGAATTGTGAGCCACAGTCAGAAATAATGTCCTTGGGTATACTATTATTGTGGAAAACATGTTCGTATAGAGTTAAGGTCGTATGGAGTGCAGTGGGTGAGGCCTTAAAAGGAATGAATCTAGCTGCTCTAGAAAAGCAATCAACTACAGTTAAAATAGTGGTATAACCCTCAGAAGGAGGCAAATCAGTGACAAAATCAATTGCTAAATCAAACCATGGTCATTCAGGTAAAGGCAAGGACATGAGTTTACCAGCTGGAAGCATTTTATGAGTTTTACTTTGTGCACAGACAGAACAAGAGACTACAAATCTATGTACATCATGTTTAAGAGACTCCCACCAATAACGATTAAGAAGGAGTTGTTGAGTTCATAATACACATACACACACACCTTAAACAAAGAAACAACATCAACACACAAATCAGCAACACTTAGCGTCCCTTTGGCGGAGGGGGGCGGGGTGCGTGGCACAGCTCTGCACAGCCCCCCTTCAGAGCCACCTCTGCAAACCAGGGCAAGTGGCAGCCACCACAGTATACCAGCAACAGTTTTAACTGAAAATCAGTTATTACTGTTTGTCCCAGAAGTGATTCCAATATGAACATGCCTGCAAATCCAACTCTGAAAATCTCCATAAGAATCTCCTCTTAACCAGAGTTACATAAAAGAAGAGACCTGCGTAAGTGAATGTAGCTCAACAACCACAAGAGGGAGCCACCCAACTAAACCAGGGAGCATATATGAAGGTTTACCCTATATATGACATTGGGTTTCACTACAGCTACGAGTGGGACATTTCTAGTGATGTGTCGTTCACAAACAAGTCGGCTCTTTTGATTTGGTTCTTTTAGGTGAACGTTGGGAGTCGTCTCACATTGAGAAGCTGACTTTATTTATTTTTAAATTAAGACAAGTCAGTTGGGTAGATCTCATGAAGCTGTAGCTGAAACTCACAGAACCCCCGCCCCCATTTTTGTTTATTCATTAATTAAAAGGTAGACTAAGCCTTTATTAAAAAATTAAGTTATAGATAAAATCTAATTTGGCTGATTTTGATTTAAAAAAATGACAGTGCTTCAGAATGAAGAGCTGTTTGGGAAACAGTAGAGTCTGTTCTTATTTGCGAGCCCCAAACCCTGCAGTTATTATTTTATTAGAACTATAGACTTTTAATCACAGTTTATCCCACTGTAGGCTCATCATACTGCTGCTGTCATGGCCGTATGTGATGAACTTTGGCTTTATTCTGACAAAGAAAAACAACACAAAGCGGTCATTTTAGGTTCTTTTTTATTACTTATACCATACAAC